TTGTAGACTTTACTTCCAGTGTGACGTCTGCTTCCAGGGCATTAATGTCTTCAGTGTCGTTTTCAAATAGGTTTTTTATTTTGTAGTTCTTATTTTGATGCTATACTTGTCGTCTTTCTCGTGATATTTATGTTTTACGTCTCACTACTTTTGATGGTATATCTGTCTCCCTACATTTGGTGCTATATTTGTCTCTAAACATTTGATACTATGTTTGTCCCCTTATTTCTGATACTATATTTGTCTCCCGACTCGTGGTGCTATATTTGTCTCCCGACTCGTGGTGCTATATTTGTCTCCCGACTCGTTGTGCTATATTTGTCTCCCGACTTCTGGTGCTATATTTTGTCTCCTGACTTCTGATGCTATATTTGTCTCTTGACCTGTGGTGCTATGTTTGTCTCCTGACTCGTGGTGCTATGTTTGTCTCCCGACTCATGGTGCTATGTTTGTCTCCCGACTCGTGGTGCTATGTTTGTCTCCCGACTCGTGGTGCTATGTTTGTCTCCCGACTCGTGGTGCTATGTTTGTCTCCCGACTCATGGTGCTATGTTTGTCTCCCGACTCATGGTGCTATGTTTGTCTCCCGACTTGTGATGCTGTGTTTCTCTCCCGACTTGTGGTGCTATGTTTGTCTCCCGACTTGTGATGCTGTGTTTCTCTCCCGACTTGTGGTACTACTGTTGGTGATATATTTGCGAAATCGTGTGTTTCTGTACATGTCCTCGCTATTCTCTTAGCAGAAATATATACACACACTCAGTGGAGATCATGCAGTTGTATCGTCTGCAAGGCTGCCTTGTTCTTCCCACATCTACGCAGCTGCAAAGTTTGTTTGTATCAGGTTGCTTGACCTTGTTCTTCCCACATCTACACAGCTGCAAAGTTTGTATCAGGTTGCCTGACCTTGTTCTTCCCGTATCTACACAGCTGCAAAGTTTGTTTGTATCAGGTTGCTTGACCTTGTTCTTCCCACATCTACACAGCTGCAAAGTTTGTATCAGGTTGCCTGTCCTTGTTCTTCCCACATCTACACAGCTGCAAAGTTTGTTTGTATCAGGTTGCCTGTCAGCAAGTTTTCCATTTGCCTTGTGGTCAGTATTCTCAGCGGATCGCGGCTGCAGAATGGGTTGTTGGTTCCAGCCAGTCTGTTTTGTGACCTGCAAGGTTTGCGTCGCTCCTCTGAATTATATAACCTGTGATTTCTAATTGCCTGGTTTTCTGTGTGTGTGTCCATCCACAACCTAGCTATGTATAATCGTTCTCTTTCTAGGTCTTTGTTTATGAATTATACTCCCCCCGCCCCAGATATATTTATTTACCATTCAGCACGTAATATAAAGTAGTTGTTTGCGCACTCAAACAAGACTTCCCCTCTTAAGGGCGACCATTCCGCACCAAGAACATTATAAGAGGGCTAAAACTGCATTTAATTTAGCAAGTTTATGGTCATTTGCCGTTGGTACGTTGTACCTGGGTAATTATTTCTCAATCAACCAATTCAGGGCTGATGATTTCTTACAGGATTTATTTCTCTCAACGCCTGGTTGGTCATGTAGCTGTTATGTTAACCCATGCTGTTAAATGATTATTTCTCACAGATCTCTCTCTCTCTCTCTCTCTCTCTCTCTCCTCTCTCTCTCTCTCTCTCTCTCTCTCTCTCTCTCTCAACGCCTGGTTGGCCGTGTAGCTGTTATGTTAACCCATGCTGTTAAATGATTATTTCTCACAGATCTCTCTCTCTCTCTCTCTCTCTCTCTCTCTCTCTCTCTCTCTCTCTCTCTCTCTCTCAACGTGTTGTTGGTCATGTAGCTGTTATGTTAACCCATGCTGTTAAATGATTATTTCTCACAGATCTCTCTCTCTCTCTCTCTCTCTCTCTCTCTCCTCTCTCTCTCTCTCTCTCTCAACGTGTTGTTGGTCATGTAGCTGTTATGTTAACCCATGCTGTTAAATGATTATTTCTCACAGATCTCTCTCTATCTCTCTCTCTCTCTCTCTCACTCTCTCTCTCTCTCTCAACGCCTGGTTGGCCGTGTAGCTGTTATGTTAACCCATGCTGTTAAATGATTATTTCTCACAGATCTCTCTCTCTCTCTCTCTCTCTCTCTCTCTCTCTCTCTCTCTCTCTCTCTCTCTCTCTCTCTCAACGTCTAGTTGGTCATGTAGCTGTTATGTTAACCCATGCTGTTAAATGATTCTCTCTCTCTCTTTCTCTCTCTCTCTCTCTCTCTCTCTCTCTCTCTCTCTCTCAACGTCTAGTTGGTCATGTAGCTATTATATTAACCTGTGCGGTTTCGGTTGTTGGTCTCAACTCTTCTGTGTGGGAACATTCAATAGACGTGCCTTGGGCTGACTGAACAGACGAGAGAATGTCTGCCGTGTGCCGATGTTGCTTGTGATGCCATATAAGAAAATATAGTTTGTCGGCTCCTGTGCATCTAAATATGAATGACTGTGGGAGGCAAATTCTCGGCCTGTCCGGAGGCAGACAGGTCAGGATTGCTTACATATACTAGTTGTGTGGTAGTAGGCTACGAGACAGACAGGTCAAGATTGCCTTCATAAACTAGTTGTGTGGCAGTAGGCCACGAAACAGACAGGTCAAGATTGCCTACATAAACTAGTTGTGTGGAGGTAGGCCACGAGACAGACAGGTCAAGATTGCCTACATAAACTAGTTGTGTGGAGGTAGGCCACGAGACAGACAGGTCAAGATTGCCTACATAAACTAGTTGTGTGGCAGTAGGCCACGAGACAGACAGGTCAAGATTGCCTACATAAACTAGTTGTGTGGTAGTAGGCCACGAAACAGACAGGTCAAGATTGCCTACATAAACTAGTTGTGTGGCAGTAGGCCACGAGACAGACAGGTCAAGATTGCCTACATAAACTAGTTGTGTGGCAGTAGGCCACGAGACAGACAGGTCAAGATTGCCTACATAAACTAGTTGTGTGGAGGTAGGCCACGAGACAGACAGGTCAGGATTGCCTACATAAACTAGTTGTGTGGAGGTAGGCCACGAGACAGACAGGTCAAGATTGCCTACATAAACTAGTTGTGTGGAGGTAGGCCACGAGACAGACAAGTCAGGATTGCCTACATAAACTAGTTGTGTGGAGGTAGGCCACGAGACAGACAGTTCAGGATTGCCTACATAAACTAGTTGTGTGGAGGTAGGCCACGAGACAGACAGGTCAGGATTGCCTACATAAACTAGTTGTGTGGAGGTAGGCCACGAGACAGACCAAGAAGACTATTCTCAAGCAGATCAGCAACAAACTAGCAGTCACCAACTGGTCAGTGACCAATCAAAGAGACACCTGATAGCTGCAACAGTGAACCCATTGATCCCGATCTATTGTTTGTAGACCTCTACTCTGGAAATGATGCCTTGTTGTGTTGACCTCATCATCATTATCATGGGCCCTGTCAACTCGTGTAGGCGCTCATGCATATCCACAGATCACAATCCCTGGTTGCCTGGAACAGCTCTCTGGAAGATATCCCTCCATACCATCGTTGCAGCCCATCCCGCATCTTCTCTCTTGGTCTGCTTCTACCCCTCTTTCCACTGATCTTTCCAGTTGTCACGATATTTCACAGTGTCTTTCTTCTTATTACGTGGGGAAACAGCAATGTTTGTCTCCTTTCTATTGTTGTATTTAGAGATCTACTTTAAATAGCCTCTTTCACACAGTGGTTGTTTGTTACTATGGCCGTCTAAAGTATTAGTAACATTCGTCTCAGAAACCACATCTCTGTTGCATCCAAATTCTTCTCAGTTTGTTCACAGACATTCCAGGATTCGCTGCCATGTAGTAGAACAGGTAAACATTTTAGCACTCGCTTTCTGAAAATGGAGAGCTACTTTTTGCATAATACATTTTTCATTTTCTGAAATGCTGCCTTGGCTTGACCTATTTATTCTGCGTTAAATCTGTCACACATTTTCCATCTGATGGTATGATTGTGTTGACCTAGGGCTGTTAAACACGGATACTATTGTCAGTGAGCAGAGGAGGAGGAAGAGTACATGAGACAGAGCAAGACTGACTGACTCTCTACCCCACTAGGACATCACACAAACGATAAACACCCGATGACACAAAGTGCCACCATGTGGATGAGGATCACAGTGGAGAGGTCCCAGAAACCGCGTTCAGACAATTGGCCATATTTATGGCCTGCCTATATTGCGGCCTCTGGCAAAAGCCAGAGTGGGGCTTCAAATAACAAAAAATTACGTCCTAAAAAGGACGTAAGGATATTATGAGACAAGAAGAATTATTTTTGTGAAGACTCGGCAGTGTAATGGGATCTGTTGGTGGACACCAACTGCTGTTAACATCTACACACAGCACATTATATGCAACACATGTGACTGTCAGGAGCATGTGCCCACACGCCAAGTGGCAGGCAGGAGGCAAGACTACCGGTATGTATGTAACTAATGTCTGACACATTGAGCCACCTGTTGCCTCACTAACCACAGGGTCAGTGCTAGTTTTGCTAAGCCATATGCATAATTATCAAAGGGAGAACAAAGACCGCATTATTGATGTTAATTATTTCCCTTGAGCCACATTATCCACTGTCGTGGCAGGGTCTTGATTGATCATGTTTGGCTACAGGGTCTTGTTTCCGGCGCGCTGCTTGTGTGTAGGAGTCATTGAGTTTGTGTATAGCACGTTTGAATGGCTTGTGTGTAGGAGTCATTGAGTTTGTGTATAGCACGTTTGAATGGCTTGTGTGTAGGAGTCATTGAGTTTGTGTATAGCACGTTTGAATGGCTCACACACTCAAAAAATAAACGCTCACACATTCCTACACACACTCTATACACATACACTCACGTGTGAGAGAACGTTCTATCTCCTTCCGATCGCATGTGTGTGCCCGTACATGTGGTGCTTCCATTACTGTCCAATCTTGTAGCACAAGCTAACAGCCATACATTTCCCCATTCATTGATCGTAATTGTAACTCCATTGACTAGGCGGTTCAAGCGCTGGGCACAGCCATCTTTGAGGCCCTGGATTACGGCATCGACCCATCGGAGGAACGCCAGTTGAGCCAGGAGCTGGAGACTCTCATTGTCACCATGACCAACGCCGACAGTTCGCTGGAGTATGACCCGGATGCACAGAATGCTGATGACGAGGGCATTGAGAAGGACTCGGACATAGAACATCGGTGTGTCCTGCTGGACGTGATTAGGGTGAGTCATCATCTACCGCTAAAACAACAATTATTACTACTACTGCTACTACCACTACTACTGCTACTACTACAACAACAACTTTTACTACTACTGCTGCTACTACTACTACTACTACCACCACCACTACTGCTGCTACTACTACTTCTACTACTACTACTACTACTACTAATACTTTTGCTGCTATTACTACCACTGCTGCTGCTTCTACTACTACTACTGCTGATGTTGCTACTACTGCCGCTGCCTGAACCACTACTAGAGTTACTGCTGCTGCAGCTAACGCCTTCTCTTGATCAACGAATTCTGCATTGGTTATCTTCAAATCCTAACAGTTGTATACCTAACAGTTGTATACCTAACAGTTGTATACCATCCTGTGTGTCCCTGTCTGTGTATTTACTTGGTGCTTATATTTGTTTGCTGCCACCCATGTCGTGCCTTTCTTCCGTCACCATTAGATTGTAGTCGTGTGCATGTACCAGCTTAACTGCAGATGAGTGGCCCCCTAGTTCTCCGTTCCCGTGTCAGTTAACATCTAACCACATGTCTCCCTTACAGTCCTCGTTAACAGACTAGTAGGTAGATAATTAGTCCCGGCAAAATGCAAAAAACATGCACATGCGATTGCTTCTAGAGATGCCAACGCCAACAATCACCACCAGTATTGCAGTCTGTGGTTGACGGAGGTAAGTGGCCAGTTACGCTGACGCATTCCTAGGTAGATCAAATGTGTGGCAAATTGAAAAAAAAAAAATACTCTTCGTTTGCTGCTGAAGATATCAGAAAGGTAGAGCGACCAAAGAAAAGGCAGCGAAAGTGATGTTTGAGAAAAGCAAGCGATTAAACACTCCTTCAGAAAACTGGACACCAACAAAAGTGACATATCTTTGCACTGGAGCCCACCGGGCAAAGAAACAAGGACATAGCAAAAACATATGGAGAAGGCAGCCAGAGAAGGAAGAGTTGATTATAGGGAGGAGATGTGGTTGTGCTGCATGAGATAAGACAGGACAGGAAGACATGGCCCGTGTTGCTTCACAGCCTCTATTCCACTGGGGCAGAATACAAATAATAAATAATAATCAGAAGGAGGAGGGGGGGACATTGGCGTGGTGATTTGCCTGAGATTTGGAACCTTATTCCATAGTTACATTTAGCTGGAGGTAGAAGAGTTCCACAGGAGGAAAGGGCGACAAAACGGACGAAGAGACAGAGGAAAGCGGAGGAGAAGGAGAAAAAAGAGGAAAAAAATAATATGAAGGAGGAGAAAAAAAAAGATAAAAGAGGAAGGAACAGGAGATGAAGGAAGAAGATGATGACGAAGAAGAGGAAGAAGAAAAAGAAGAGGAAGAAAAAGAAGAGGAAGAAAAGAAGAGGAAGAAGAAAAAGAAGAAGAAATGCCCGTTCAATTCGTCATCTAAAAGAAACGAGGATGGCTTCCCTACTGCAAGATTCCCTAGGAACAAAACAACAATCATTGAACACATCAGAAAGTCACGACAGCTGGGGGAAATGGTCTGGAGTGTTTTAATGTCTGGGTCGGGCACCTACATTCTTGCTCTGTAGACCTTATCTCTACGCCGAGACTGATATAAAATAGAACATGACTCACCAAGAAGGTACTTTTAAAAAATCTTTTTGAAAATCCGTTCCTATATAATGGTGAGAGAAAGAGTGTGTGTGTGTGAGAGAGAGAAAGAGAGAGAGAGAGAAAGAGAGAGTCTTTCGGTCTAACATGGCGGATAAATTAGACAGTCTGGTTAGAGCTTTGGAATTATGTGTACTTCCAACAATGGTTTCCTAATGTAGTTACCTCATTTGGACTGGAGTTTGATTGCCTCAGGTATTGTTAATTGCTAGGTGCGACACTTTGAGCTGTGTGTTTTGTGTGGAATGCCTTTCGTTTGTGCCCGTAGCGACTGTTTTGTTAAAATCAGAAAATGGCCGGTAGCCAATTTGTGTCTGAGCTGGAGAAATATCTTATGCAATAATTGTGCGTGTATCCAAATGAACGCATTGGAAGGTCAAGAACGAATGCTAGATTCTCGGCTGCTCCCCTCGCGTGCTGCACTTCTGCCTTTCACTTGTTCTTGCCAGCACCCGGATCGATCAGTTTGTTATATTGCCTTGCCTTTTAGATCGTGTCCGTTAACTTCATTTCTTCTGTTGTTTTACTTCTCATATTGAGGTTAAAGGAAAATCCATACTGACCCTTTCGTGTTGTAGCAGCTGGAATTGAGGCCTTCCTGTTTTGTTTTATCTTATAGTTTCATTGACGGGTTGTGTGTGTGTGTGAATGAATGGAGGCGTATATATGGGTGATGCCTTTCCAAATATTCACTCGAGAGATTAGTATTTACATACGAACAAGAAGGAAAACCGTACATTTCCCCAGACACCCGAAACGGTACAAGAGGGAGTAAAGGAGAAAAAGAAAAGCAGGAAGCAGAAAAAAAAGGGACAGAGAAATACAATAGAAATACTGTTTGGGGGAGAATTAGCAGAATATGACACCGTGCACACAGTTTCACACTCCAGCGGCATTAAACGTCGTATAATAGATTCATGCCCATTGCCCCGTTGTCGTAGCCTGTCGTAGCCTCTCGACGTTGAGAGCCATTATACGTACGCCGCTAAGGACTTATTCTGCAGCCAGCGATGTTTGCACACTTTCAGTTCTTAAACATCGTACGCAAGCTATAACCTGCTATCGGAATGTCTTATGGTCCAGCAAGTTTGAGATTTGTCAGACAAACGCCAGGTCGGCATTTCACACGATCATCAGTAACCACTGTATTTTGGGGGTCGCTGGGGAGTAGGAGCCCAGAATAAACACACCTGCAGAACAATAGCCGGGGTTACCCTGCCCTGGGTACCTTGACAGGTCGGCGGGTATTGGAGGCTTTGTGCTGTGTGGGTGCTAACTGTTTGCCAAAGAAATATCTGTGATATTGTCTTGAGAATGCTTTTGTCTGTATATGTTCTTCTTCTTCTTCTTCTTCTTCTTCTTCTTCTTCTTCTTCTTCTTCTTCTTCTTCTTCTTCTTCTTCTTCTTCTTCTTCTTCTTCTTTTTTATTATTATTATTATTATTATTATTATTATTATTATTATTATTATTATTATTATTATTATTATTATTATTATTATTATTATTATTATTATTATCATGATTATTCCCACCGCCGCTGCTGCTCCTCCTCCTTCTCCCCTCTCTCGTGTTGTGTTCTGTATGTTTATATTCCTGTTTAGGGAGCTGCGTGGTTCGAAGCATGAAGTTCGCCTCGAGTGCTAGAGGTCCCGGGTTCAGGCCCCGGTGAAGGTTGGGATTTTTTCGCGTGGACTTCTAGTAATTTCCACTGATCTCTGGGTAGTAAGATCTGACGCCCATGTGTATTGTTGCGCATGTAAAAAAAATCCCTTGGCAGTTGGAAATCGAAAAGAGTAGCCTAACGACGCTGCCCAGGCAAAATATGGAGTTACAAATCTAACCAAAGTATTTCAGGATCGTCGCTGGTGCTACGGAGTTCGTGCACTGCGTTGAGATTCTTCGGAATCAGAATTTTTTTAAGAAATAAAATGGAGCACCTATGGGTTACTACCCTTGTGCCGTGTTGCGGATTCTCTCTTGTTATGTGTCTCATGCATGTATTCTTATCGCGGACTCTCTCTCTCTCTCTCTCTCTCTCTCTCTCTCTCTCTCTCTCTCCTCTCTCTCTCTCTCCCTCTCTCTCTCTTAGTGTCTGTCTATTTCTCCATCTACATTGAATCTTAATCTCAACCACTGTTTGATGCCTGTTGTCTCTCTGTCTGTCATAGATGAGTTTAGGCGTTGCCCAGTTAAGACAATAATGATAACACAGTCATGGCTATACGACACCCAGGGTTCATATATGAAACATACTGTAGGAGACAGTCAAGAAAAAAAAAAGGGGGGGGGGGTGGGATGCTTGAGTTGGCCCTGGCTCAACGTAAAGTGCATAAACATACAGACTAGCGGGGACTAGCGCACATTAGTCGTATCTATCCACTCACAGACGGCCCGTTGTTTGTCCCTTCAAGAGACCAAGACGATTGAGAGACATCATCTTCTTGGCTTTGACAGGCTGTAAACTTTCACGGAAAGTTCTGATGGTTCCTCCACCTCTAGACTAGTCTTGTTCCAGAACAAGTTTTGCTGCACATCCCATTGACAGATCTTGCTTCTTCTTTATATGCAGACTGCTGATTGCTGGCATTTCAGGCAGATGCAAGACTTGGAAGGAAAAATCCCTAATTAATTACTCTCTCACAACATACTTGTTGGGGAGCGGTGTGTCTTTTCTGGTTGCCCTCACACTAGGAGATTATGGAAAATCAGTGGTCACTTAATGAAGAAAACAAGCAAATAAAAAATAGCAAGCCACAGAATCAAGTCACATAGTGGAAGAGCACATCTAATTTATTCCAGAAGTTAATAAAAATGATACCTTTTAAGGCCCCGCCCCTCCCTTTCCCCCCCTGCCCACCAAAATGAACGAAGGAACTGTTAGCAGTCATATTGACTCACGCAAACCTATCGGTTGTGATCAAAATCTGCTTCCCTGAGGCGCGAGCAACGACACAGAACATCTAGTATCAGATATACCAGCAACGACACAGAACATGTAGTATCAGATATACCAGCAACGACACAGAACATCTAGTATCTATCAGATATACCAGTAACGACACAGAACACCTAGTATCAGATATACCAGCAACGACACAGAACACCTAGTATCAGATATACCAGCAACGACACAGAACACCTAGTATCAGATATACCAGCAACGACACAGAACATCTAGTATCAGATATACCATCAACGACACATAACATCTAGTATCAGATATACCATCAACGACACAGAACATCTAGTATCAGATATACCAGCAACATTAACAAACTGATACTACCAGTATGAGACCGTAGTATACGATCAGTACCACTGCACCAAGAATCGCAGCGTCAGCAACGT